TCATGTATTTGTGTATCAATTTATTCTTATAAATAGAAGATTGTGAGAGGGATCAATCAAGCCCTCAAGAATTATTTCTTTTCAATCTTAAGTAGGACATCTGAACAATTCCCTCTCTATAGGTTTGAAATCTTATTTAAAGACAAATCCTAACCATTCGGATTCATTTAATCGTAGTTTTCTTTATTAACTTGGATAAAATGTAAGTGGAAGGTTAAAATAAAATATCAACTAAGAATGTTACAATGCAGTGGACTATATGTAAACTAAAAAGATTGTACAAAAATTATATAATGGCATAATCATTGAACTCTAACTCAGTCCTCCTTATCCTGTTTTATTTTGCTTTTACTTGCTTCTGCACCACAGAGTTAATTTAGTTTGTTTCCATTGATGTATATATGGCAATGTAGTTTGCCTGAACGTTATTTTTTTTCTTTTTGTGGTAGACCAGATTGTACTAGCACTATTTTTGGATGAAACATTTGACACTTTTATATTCTGTTTCTAAATATTTTGTCAGGATATTGTGGTTTGTTATTGTTAAATCTCTAACTATTAGAGGTGCTCATGCTATATCTTCTCTTTTTAGATATTCTATGGAATATTGTTGCAATATTTTGCTGTTTTGGCAAATAAGAAACCACTGAATGTCGAGTTACTCAATCTGCTGGTGAAACCATTGATAGAGATGAGTACGGAAATCCCATACTTTGCTGCAATATGTGCTCGCCGCAGAATTGAAAGTACTAGAAAGCAATTCATTGAGAGTATCAAGAAATCAGGTCAAAATAAAACATAGTTGAACAGTTGCATTCTTTATGCTAACATGTTGAGAACTATTTGTTAGATGTTTTGGTAACACTAATTATTCTCTTGGCACAGAAAGTAGCTCTTGGCCTTCTTCAAAAACATTGTGCCTCCTGCGTTTGTGGTCCATGATATTTCCATGCTCTGACTTTAGGCATCCAGTTATGACCCCCGTGGTATTGTTGATGTGTGAATATCTGATGCGTTGCCCAATTGTATCTGGTCGGGATATTGCCATTGGCTCTTTCTTATGTTCTATGCTTCTCTCAGTAAGTACTTCTTCAACATACTTCATTGAGTTTATTTTGTCTAACTTATATGCTTTTCATCTGCTTTTAATCTATTTGAATTCTGTCGTTGAATGGTGGCTATATGTACAGTCAAAATGGAAAATTTCATTAATGGTATATGATTCCACAAACGAGTTTAGTTTTTGAATGATTACTTACTAAGATATTTATTGTATTGCGGAACTTCAATTTTCACTTTTCTCCCTTGTTAAATTTTGTGCTTGCTTATGTACTAAATATAAAATGGCAGGTATTTAGACATTCTAGAAAATTCTGTCCGGAAGCAATAATGTTTCTTCGAACTTCACTGCTGGCAGCTACTGAAAGTAAACATATTTCAGAAGAAGATTCCCAGGTAATAATATTTCCATTGATCATCTGTAGTTTGAGTCATATTATGTGACGGGTGTATGTATGTTATTGGCCTCCTCCATTCTTCTTTGAACAAGAAAACAGTTGTAGATATTTTAGTTTTAGCCCTTTGGTAGAAAACTGTCGTCCTCACAAATATTGTGAATATTCTACTCTTTTCATTTAGACTGTACCCACATTTCCTTGTAAAAAGTTTTGTTTTTTTTTGCTACTGCAAATTTACTTGAGAAAACGAGCATTCTGACAGTTGCTGTACATTTTTTGGGCTTCTGTTCTGATGCCCTATACCATACATTTTCTTTTTCCAAGTTTACAATTCCAAGGATAATTTAAGTTTCTCTTGATAATAAGTAATAAATATGGGAAGAACCATTTTACTTTTTCTATACTTTTAACATAATAAGAGCAGAAGATGATGGAGGATAATTATGATATCCCAGCCATGGTTATCAAACTCTCGAGTTAACTCGTACGAGTTTACGGTCCCAGACATGGTTTCCGAGTTAACTCAGAAGTAAACTCGTTTTTTGCATAAACTTGGTAGAATCGACTGGGAAATTGGTAGAATCGTGTAAAATCGTGAGTTTGGAGCGATTTTGCGAACTTGAAAGTTATATATTTAATGAAATGCATCAAAATTAATGGCAATAGTCCAAGTATTTATGTTTTACAATATTTATTTTTATGAACAATATAACTATAAATTTTGTTTATTTTAAGTTATATAATTTTGTAAACTTATTTGAATTAAGATATTATTTATATAATTTTTTTCATCTGAAGTAAACTCTACGAGTTTACGAGTTGAGTTTACTCGACTCTCTCGAGTTTATGTAAACTCTCGAATTTGATAATCTTGATCCCAGCACTTGGTAAATCCACAACCTAGTTATATCATCTTATGGAACTGATATCCCAGTACTTATTAAATACTACAGCTTCATGTTTGGACACTGAAATGACCATATAATTTGTTTTATCCCAGTTATATCATCTTATGGAACTGAAAGCACTCAAGCCTCTCCTGTGCATACATGAGACAGTGAATGCGATTAGCACTCTGAATTTCTTCAAGATTATAGACATGCCAGAAGACTCCTCTCTCTTCAGTGAAGTTGATTTCAGGTAACAATAAGTTGTTAGAACCATTTATCCAAAAAGGAAAAAAAGGTTACGTCCTTGTTATTATGTTGGCAATCTTTGTTTTGAATGGGGTCTCGAGGCTTTTTAAACCAAAAAATGTTAGTATGAATACTGTATAATATGTGCTTGATTTGCATTATCAAGAACTGGTCATTTAGATTGTGTTATAGCTATAGTCTTGATAATTAATACTGGCTGCTGCTAATATTGAAGATTGTTCAGAGTATTGCTTGTTCATTTCTTTTTGAAGGCTTATGGTTTTCATTTATCTTGGCTAATTATTATTCATTCATTACAGGGCCAGTGTGTTAGTTACAGTGGTTGAAACTTTACAGGGATATGTTGACATCTATAAAGGCCTAAGTTCATTTCCTGAAATATTCTTACCAATTTTGAGAATATTAAATGAGATAGAAGAACAGAAAAATATGCCAAATGCATTACGAGATAAAATAAAAAATGTGGCTGAGATTATTAAGTTGAAAGTGGATGAGCTTCACTCTTCGAGACGACCACTTCAAATGCGGAAACAAAAGCCAGTATCGATCAAACTACTGAATCCTAAGTTTGAGGAAAAGTAAGTCCCTCCTTTTCCTTTGCTTGAATTTGATGACATGTTTCCTTAGTCACGGTGAATCTGAAAAATAACATAAATTAAGCACTTGAATGTAATATTTTTTGTTCTGCAGCTATGTCAAGGGTAGAGATTATGATCCTGACCGGGAACGAGCAGAAATGAGAAAATTGAAGAAGCAGTTGAAGCGTGAAGCTAAGGGGGCTGCACGAGAATTGCGTAAAGACAACTACTTCCTGCTTGAGGTGAAGGAAAAAGAGAAGTCTTTACAGGAAAAAGATAGAGCAGAGAAGTATGGAAGAGCTAAAGCTTTCCTTCAAGAGCAAGAACATGCCTTCAAATCAGGACAGCTTGGTAAAGGGAGGAAAAGAAGGAGATAAAAGCTTGCATATTTTCCCACATTCACTGTGTTAAAGGGCTTTACCTTCGTATTAATCAGCTCAAGGAGTGGTTTTCTACTGCCTAGCTTCTAGAGTGGATAAATGATGAACAAGCTTGGAAGAATATTTATGGGGTGGTTAGAGAATAAGCTAGGCCTTACTTTCCCCACTCAATATTGAAAGTTGAAGCAAATAGTAATGATAAGAAAGGGTATAAAGAGCTGAGATCATTCATTTGACAATACTCTTGCCTTCCCAACTTCATCTCCTGGGAAAGTGTTACTCATGACTCATGTATTCAAGTTTTGGGATTAGGAGGTGCAACTTCATGTAAGTTCTCTGTAAACAATATCAGCCGCCACATGGGTTGAACTAAGTTAAAAATTTTGCAAATGAATTTTCAATCTAATTTGTACTCTATTTTCTTTCTACAATTATATGGATTCTTCTATCACTCATGATGTAAGGATTTTTGTTAGTAAGCCATTTTTTAGGACTTCCACAAGTGTGGAGTTTTGAGGCATATGTGGATCATGACGACAACAATTCTTGAAAATTGATTTTTTCCTGTATTTAATTGAAAAATACGTTTGGTAGTGTAACATTTCTTGGTTTATTTCTAAACGTTATTTAAGGCAATGCTATAAATTAAGAAATATAGTTAGTATTTTTATTTATGATATTAAAATGCTAGTTATTATCCTCGTAAATTTTTATTTGCAGCATTTAATACTGTGGCGGTTTTTAACGTAGTTGTTGCCCTCCCTATCCTTATCTTCAAGTTAGCTGAATTACGAGAACAACTAGTTAAGAATAAAAGGTTCAAATGTGTAAAATAATCAATTTTTTAAAATTGCAGCAAAAATATGAAAAAAAAAATTAATAATTTCTAAAAATTACATTCAAACGTAAGAATTACTTCTGAAATATAAAACCAAACAGGCCATAAACCACATCTTATACACTTGTGCATTGTCAAGCAAATCAATGTCTGCAGATTGTTTTTAAATTGTACACCTCTTTATACATTTAGTTCCCAGGAATTGAACTTAAGATGTTCTGAAAAACATTAAAACAAAACAAAAAGTGTCCTCTTAATTCAAATAAAAAAAAAATTCAAGAACAACATGCAAAATAATTTAACCATACAATCATTCATGAACAAACAAGAAATGTTTAACCAACAGAGACTTCAGTCTCATCAAGTAAAAGCAAACATGGATACCACACTTCAAATATCAACACAAATTACAACACATTTTGTACAACATCAAATCACCCAAATCATGCCAAACATGCACCATCCAAACACAAACAAGCCTCAATAACAACCAACTATATATGTTCATAATTTTTCACGTCAAAGAAGTAAAAAGTAGTAATTTGTCGTGGGTTTACTTCTTCAAAATTTCAAACCAAACACGCATGTTGATCACTGCGCAGTTTACGAAAATAATCTCTAGGATTGCGCTCAAAGTCGTCCCTTAAAATGTAACAGTCTCTCCCTGGAGCCTTCATTGTCCTCCCACTTCTGCAACAACATGGATAAAAACATCTGAAAATCACCACAATCATCTCCCAAAGAAACCAAACAACAACAATGACCATCAGAGCAACCACAACAGCAACAGCAACAAGCAACCACATTTCTCCATCCATTCCAGCTTCATCACAAGAGTTATCCTTAACATTAAATGTATATCCTGTGATTTTTTCAAGTATTGGATTAATCTTTGACCCTAAGCAACTTATCAGGGACACCAACCTGAAACATAGTAGCATTTGTCTTTGTTTGAGTAATCCATATCAAATTGGATTAACAGAACCAATATAAAGATACCATCAAATTATAATAAATCTTATTCTTTAATGTATATATACTATGTACCGCTCTTTATATGTATATATGATCAATTTATATTTTTATATCAATTAGTAAAAGAATTACACTGTCTCGAATGAACGACATTGGGTATAATCTCACCAGTTGATGACATAATCCATCATAGTTTGAAGACTCCGGAGAAAGCTCTCAATAGTTTGAAAGAACCCCAAACGAATATCACTTTTATGAATCTTATTAGCCACGTTTAAAGTTGGGACGATTTCATTTCTGTCCTTAAAATGAAAAAAAAATATATTTGAAAAAGTTGTTTTAGTCCCAACAGAGATAATCGCATCGGGTGCTTTTAAGGATTAAAAACGGATTTTTTTTTTCAAAAAAAAAAATAACTAAAGTTCTTCTTCAACTTAAGAGAGAGAAAAAAAATCAAGATCTAAAACAAGATTAAACTAAAACTAAAATCTGCACAGTGTATGGAAATTATCTCATAAAAATATATATAATATAACAATGGCATAATCTTACCAATTGATGAAGCTATCCATGGTGGATCGAGACTCTAACAGTGTAGACGACCTCAGAAGAAAGTGTGAACCCTTGAAGACCTAAAATTGTTGGGAAAAGAGAAGGAACCAAGGATTGGTGGATAGATAGTGACAGGAAGAGAAGCGAGTGAACTGTTTTCAGTGGCTATGCACTTGCAAGAATGTTTGATTTAATGCTAAGCAAAACAGGTAAATGATGAAGTTTTAATTTAGTCATCCAAAGAATTTCTATATATGTAAAAAAAGTATAATAAATAAGGTTTTCTTATTAGGTTTTATGATAACAATTTAGTATTTCCAAAACCAATTTGACATGAAGTTGAGTTGTACGGAGAATTCAAAAGTCAGTCAACACAATAACTTAATTACTAAGCAGCTCATAATATGGCAGTATTAAGTACTTTATAAGATGTTTCCAAAGTCACAGAATTTGACATTGGTAATGTTATGTTTTTCAGAGGTATCATATGTGTTTATTATTTTATTTTATTTTGCAACACTCTACAAATTAACTTGTTTTTTCATGTAAAAATGTCACTTTTATCTATTTGTTTATTTTACACAACATGCTTATTAGAAAGATATCATTTAATCAATTCAAGTAATTAAATTATTAAATCTTTAATGGATCATAATTAACTTCACGCAATATGATAGCTGATTTATTAAATTTTGTTGAATGATTTTTTATAATTATAATAATATATTTCATATTAATGACATTATTTTATTTAGGTTTAATAGAATTTTAGTTTTGATGTTTCTTTCACATTCATTGTGTTAAAACACACAAGGCTTTACATTCTTATTAATTATGAAATAACGGATTTTTACTACCTAACTTATTGATAGATCTTTCATAAGAAAATCACAATGGAGATACAACAATAATGAAAGATAAGTTATGAAAGCCCAGAGAAGTATTTATAGATCCATAGTAGTTTTAAAATAATAACAATATAATATTTTGAAATTTAAAAGGTTCAAATTGTGAAACAAATTTCTAGTAACTTAAATACATAATTATAAAATTTACCTCTTAGTTCTACCTGTTTTTTCTCTAGAATATTAACTTACGTCTTCATTCATTTGAAGATTAGAGACGGTAGAAAATTGATTTTTTTCAGTATATTTTTTATTGAAAAATACGTTTGGTAGTGTAACATTTATTGGTTTGTTTCTAAACGTTATTTAAGGCAATGCTATACATTAAGATATATAGTTAGTATTTTTATATATGATAGGAAAATGCTAATTATTATCCTCGTAAATTTTTATTTGCAGCATTTAATACTGTGGCAGTTTTTAACCTAGTTGTTGCCCTCCCTACCCTTATCTTCAAGTTAGCTGAATTACGAGAACAACTAGTTAAGAATAAAAGGTTCAAATGCGTAAAATAATCATTTATTTTTTAAATTGCAGCAAAAATATGATTTTTTTTAATAATTTCTAAAAATTACATTCAAATGTAAGAATTACTTCTGAAATATAAAACCAAACAGGCCATAAACCACATCTTATAAACTTCTGCATTGTCAAGCAAATCAGTGTCTGCAGATTGTTTTCAAATTGTTCACCTCTTTATATATACATTTATTTCCCAGGAATTGAACTTAAGAAAATGTTCTGAAAAACATTAAAACAAAACAATATAAAATTTCCTCTTAATTCAAATAAAAAAAATTCAAGAACATGCAAAATAATTTAACCATACAATCATTCATGAATAAACAAGAAATGTTTAACCAACAGAAACTTCATTCACATCAAGTAACAGCAAACATAGATACCACACTTCAAATATCAACACAAATTACAACACATTTTGTACAACATCAAATCACCCAAATCATGCCAAACACAAACAAGCCTTAATAAGTTCATAATTTTTCACGTCAAAGAAGTAAAAAGTAGTAATTTGTCGTGGGTTTACTTCTTCAAAATTTCAAACCAAACACGCACGTTGATCATTACGCAGATCACGAAAATAATCTCTAGGATTGCGTTCAAAGCTGTTCCTTGAAATGCGATAGTTCCTCCCTGGAGCCTTCATTGTCCTCCCTCTTCTGCAACGACGATAAAAACATCTGAAAATCACCATAATCATCTTCCACAGAATCCAAACAACAACAATGGCCACCAGAGCAACCCCAACAGCACCAGCAACACGCAACCACATTTCTCCATCAACTCCAACTTCATCACAAGAGTTGTCCTTAACATTAAATGTATATCCTGTGAATTTTTCAAGTATTGGATTAATCTTTGCCCCTAAACAACTTATCAGGGACACCAACCTGAAACATAGCAGCATTTCTCTTTGTTTCAGTCAACCGTATCAAATTGGATCAATAGATTATCTCATTAATATAAAGATACCATCACATTATAATAAATCTTATTGTTTAATGTATATATACTGTGTACCGATCTTTATATGTATATATGATATATTTTTATAATAATAAGTAAAATAATTACAGTGTCTCGAATCAACCACATTGGGTATAATCTCACCAGTTGATGACAGAATCCATCATGGTTTGAAGACTGTGAAGAAAGCTGGAACCCCTGAATAGGAAGAAAACAGGCTCTCAATAGTTTGAAAGAATCCCAAACGAATATCACTTTTATGAAGTTGATTAGCCATGTTTAAAGTTGGGACGATTTCATTTCTGTCCTCAAAATGAAAAAAAAAATGTTCTAATTTCTGGAATTTGAAAAAGTTCTGTTTTAGTCCCAACAAAGATAATCACACCGTGTGCTTTTAAGGATTAAAAACGGATTTGTTTTAAAAAGTAACTAAAGTTCTTCTTCAACTTAAGAGAGAGAGAAAATGATCAAGATCTAAAACAAGATTAAACTAAAACTAAAATCTGCCAAGTGCATGGAAATGATCTCATAAAAACAAGAAAACAATTTAAAAATCTGTATATTATCTGGATGCATCTAAAATGGCATAATCTTACCAGTTGGTGAAGCTATCCATGGTGGATTGAGATTCTAATAGTGTAGACGCCCTCAGAAGAAAGTGTGAATCCCTATTGATGAAAGCATCCATGGTGAAGAAATGATGAACCTTTGAAGAAGAAGAAGAGGAATTTGGATTAATAGTGTTGAAGTAGACTAAGGGTCAATTCGTTTGTTGATTTGAAAATGTTAAGAAAAGAGAAGTAAGCAAGGATTGGTAGAGATAAAGTGAAAGAAAGAGAAGCAGAGTGAACTGTTTTTAGTGGCTTCCTCGAAACTATGCACTTGCAAGACTGTTTGCTTTAATGCTAAGAATTTCTGTATATGTAAAAAAATATAATAAATAAGGTTTTTTTATTGAGAAATGGTATCATGACTTTTACATTCTTTTGAGGGTAAAATGGTCTTATTTTGTACTTTTAATAAAGAAGAGAATAAAAAAAAGTAAAAATAATTAAAAGATTTGTGTACGTCAAAATATTTTTTTATTAGGTTTTGTGATGTTAATTCAGTATTTTCAAAACCAACTTGACATGAAGTTGAGTTGTACGGATAATTCAAAAGTCAGTCAACACAATAACTTAATTACTGAGCAGCACAAATTAAGTCATAATATGGCAGTATAAGTACTTAATAAATAAGACATGACAAACCAAGCTTTTATAAAAATTATGAAGATGTTTCCAAAGCATAGAATTTGAACAAGGGACAAACCTGAAATTGGTAATGTTACACTTTTCAGAGGTATCACATGTGTTTTTTTTTCAAAACTCTACAAATTAGCTTGTTTTCTCGTGTAAAAATGTCACTTTTATCTATTTGTTTATTTTTAATTATAAAATACACAACATGCTTATTAGAGAGATATCATTTAATCAATTCAAATAATAAAATTATTAAATCTTTAATGGATCATAACTTCACTCAATATGATTACTGATTTATTAAATTTTATTGAATGTTTTTTATAATTATAATAATATATTTCATATTAATGACATTATTTTATTTAGATTTAATTAATATTTTAGTTTTGATGTTTCTTTCGTATTCATTGGATTAAAATACACAATACTTTATATTTTTATTAATAATAAAACAACGGTTTTTTATTATTTAATTTATTGATAAATTTTTAATGAGAGAATCATAATGGAGATACAACAATAATGAAACATAAGTTATCAAAGTCTAGAGAAGAATTTATAGTTTTAAAATAATGATATTGTAATAAGGTTCAAATGGTGAAGTAAATTTTTAATAATTAAATTTATTATTATAAAACATACATCTTAGTTTTTTCTATCTTTTTTATAGGATATTGACTTATGTCTTCATTCTTTTGAAGATTATAAATAGTTGAATTGATTGTGGTGAAGAACTCAACACAATCATCCAAGATAGAGAGTGAATTGAGAAAGTTGTTTCAACAAGTGATAATCTCCATATAGGTTGATGAAGCTTCTTCAAAAGTAATGAACTCCATGGAAGAGACGATGTAGCAGAAGTAATTTGATGAAAAGATGAAGATGATGCTTTGAATGGTGTGGTCTAGTGTAGTTCCTCTAAGAAGGTTGAGCCAATCTTGAAGGAGAAAGTATGAAGAAGTCTAGTAGAAAACATATCCTAAGTGAGAACTAAAGAAGAGACGATTTGCAAATTTGGCAAAATATCTTTTAAAGTTCTAAAAATATACAAAGAGTGTCTCTCCTTTTATAGGTGTAGGAGAAAGGCTAAAGTACAAAAGGCAACCTAAGACATTTAATGAAGGAGCCTAAACATTAAATGTGAGGATCCTTATGCTTTATAATTAACTAGTTAAAGCATTTCTCCATCATTAAATGAAGAAACCTATGCTTGTAACTAACTTAGTCAAAACATTAAATGAAGAGGCTCCTTTATAACTAACCCCTTCTAAACCCATTTTGAAACTCATTTTTAAGCTATAATTACCTTATTAAGGCACTAAAGATGCCCTTAAGTTATTCTTAAGGTCACCAAGCCTTATAAACAAAGCTAAACCATGTTTTTGGCCAAATACAAGGTCTGAAATGAACTATACTACATATTTATAAGAGATACCTAAGATAAAAGAAGGCTAAAAATGCGATCCTCCACAAAAGTAAATTTCTTGAAGTTTCATCTTTCTCTTCCATTTTTTTGACAATGGTTCTTTATGAGAAGTCCAATGTCCTCTAAGGTTTGAGGGAAAACAAGAACAAGCTTGAAAGTCCTTCTTATTCTTCCA